CCCCGACGTAACGCAACTGCGATCAGCACTTCCTTATCCGGGCCTGGCGCCCGTCCAGTGCTGCCACAGGTCTCCGTGGTATATAGTCGGGACAAACACTGCTTGGAGCTCTCAGCACAACGTCACTCTCCAGCCAAGCGCTGTGAGCCAGCATGTGTGGCAGGAGTATCAGACCAGGAGACAGCACCGCGTCACAGGGCTGTTACCCCAGCACTCAAGAGGCTGAGGATCGCAAGTTCAAGTCCTGCCTGGATAACCTACTGATACCCTGTCTCAAAAAACCGAAAACAAACAAAACTCAGTAAGGATATAGCTTAGTGGCAGAGTACCTCTGATTTTGATGCACAGTCCCATTAAAATACAAAAATACTGAAAATGGACAAAATAGAGGAGAAGCACAGAGAAAATTAACAAAAGATGGCTTTGGGAAAGATCAATAAAACTGACAATTCTTTGGCTGCACTTAGAAAAAGAGAGACAACAGAATGATTGAACTCAGAAATAAGAGGGGACATTACTACCAATCTTATAGAAATAAAGTTTATGAGAATTTTACAGACTGGATACCAATACATTAGGTAACACGGAGAAATGAATCCATTTTTGAAAAAACAGAAGCTATTCAAACTGAGCTTGGAAGAAGCTAAAAATTCTGAATAGACCTAGAACAAGTACAGAGATGGAATCATTAAAATGTAAGAAAAAAAGCTCCCTGAAATCCCCGGCCCACATGCCTAAACTGAATTCTGACAAACACTTCACAAACTCTCCCCACAAAAGGAAAAGAAGGAACACTTGTTAGCATTTTAAGAGCCCGGCATTACCTGGGTACCAAGCCAAGCAAACTCTTGGCAAGAAAAGGAAACCAAAGATCAAGAGTCCTTGTGACTCGAGAGGCTGAGGCAGGAGGATCACTGTGAGTTTGAGGCCAGCCTGGGCTACAAAGTGAGCTCAAGGCCAGCCTGGAGTACATAGCGAGACCCTGTCTCAACAAAAAAGAGAAGATTCCTTGTGAATATGGGTACGAAAACTCTCGACACTAGTAAACAAAACCTGTCATCCAAAGATGCAATCCAACATGTAAAAATCAACATAGTACATACTGAGAAAGGAAGACCACAGGTCATCTCCACAGACCCAGAAAAAGCATGTGACAAAGCCCAGTATCTTAGCTGGGTGTGGTGATGCACACACCTGTAATCTTAGCGCCCAGGAAACTGAGGCAGGAGGACTGCCATGTGTTCGAGGCCAGCCTGGCTACAAAGAGTTCAAGGCCAGACTGAACTACACAGTGAGACCCTGTCTCAAA